ATTTAATGAATTTTCCCATGTTAAAAGGTTGAGGGAATGAAAAAGGCTAAAATGACATTTCTTCAGAGAAGCAAGTTCCAAGCATAAGCTACTCCACGAAGCTGAACCAGGTTTATTGAGTCTGGACTGTGCATAACCAGCATCTGTACAGGCTGCACTAACTACTGAAACATTTGTGAAGGTACTTTTTAATAACAGAGCTGGTCAGCAAATGGAGCCTGCAGTCCACTGGAAATTTTAGCTTATTTCTCCTTCTCAAACGAACAGGATTCTAAATTTCTTCACAGTGACAAATAACTAGATTTGGAAATGTTTTCATAATGTTGAAAACTACTACTATGTGGACTATTACATAAATAGAAATTAGTATGTAATAGTGATGCAAAACTTAAACTTGCATTCTCTAAGAGGAGACTGTATAGCATGGCAGTTTCATCATCAGGTTTAGTGTGTCCATAAATGGATACTAACCAGAATAGTCTGGGACATCCATAATACAGCAATCATGGTTGCTGGAAAGCATGAGGGGAATGGACTGTAAAAACTGGACAGCAGACTCTTCCTAAATAGCATTGCCTAGTGCCACCACAGGAGACAGAATGTTGTGCAACATGGACCATTGGTCTAACTCTGCAGGGCATTGCAAATGTTCTTGAAATTTTCACGTACACACTAGGAGGACAAAAACACCTAAAAAGAATGTTTTGTCAGTCTTCTTGACATTCAGCAGAGACAAAGGGATGTGTTTCTCTAACTTCCTGACAATTCCCTCTACGTCTCCAGAAATGAGAAGTTTCTACAAAATGCTTCAGTATCACAAAACTGTAATTTTGGGTGGAATTTCACTCCTACCAAAATTTTTCCTCTACCGAGGTCTTTTAACTCAGTAAATCATTTTTTATGATTTACTTAATAATGCATGTTCCACCTATTTCCTATCAAAATATATTAAGAATAATAAAATACACTAGCTTACTTTACAAACTCAAATTCATCTCAAATATGGCATGTATAACTATGTATCTTTTGAAAATGGTCTGAGATGCTTCTTAAGTTCTACCTGAACTCTGTAGGAAATGAACTATTGAAATATGTTGCATTATGATTCTGGCCTCTGGCTTACAGTAGCAGGTAGAAGTTGTGTAACACCTACCACTTACCTTTCTGTGGTATTTTCAGCCTTCACTCTTTCTTGATCAGGTTGTTCCTTGCACCAGATCTCAGGCAAGGCCTGTGCCAGTTGTTTTCCCCACACACCCTTGACCTACATGTTCATCTGCAGGGCCTGATATGATTTACCTCTCTGCTTCATCTTCCATCTGATTTCCAGCTACCTCAGATCTTTTCTCTTCTGAACTAACATCCAGATCAGAAAGAAATGGACTATTGCACACTCTGTCTTAGCTGTGTCATCATGCTGGTGTCTGGTGACATGAAACTGCTAACCTGATTCATCCCAAGTGTAATACTCCTGGGATTTCTTTGCACCAAAGACTTAACAGGCCAGTTTCTTCTGCCTGCATCTCTGAAGACATGTAACAAAGCTTAATGCACCTGGCAAGAATCCTCCCCCCAGCAATATTCTTTATAATAGACATGACTAGAACAGTATCCAAAGAGGAGCAGATGTTCAGTCTATCTGAGAGCAGCCTACAGAGAGGAGGGCATTTCTGAACTGAGAGTCAAGAGTACTATTATTCTGCACAGATGTATTATGGTTTCACTTTCATTCCCCTGAGTAGTTTCCTTAAAAATACTGGACTGAGAAAGCTTGGTTGCTTTATTACCAAAAAATTGCTTAATGATGCTAAAAGCTCTCACACAATTATGTCCTCTAGTTTTTAATTATTTGTTAAAATTCATATTCTGTACTAGTCTCAGATTTAGGTCCTGATGTGTTAAGATGAGCACAACATGGTAACTTTACACTTCTTGTATAAATACTCCACTAGAGTGTAACATGAAGAAGTGTGTTATGCAAAAAGGTTGCTTATTATTCCAAGTAATCATGATGCAAGTTTTCTAACTGATAAGAGCTACACTGCAAGGCTAAATCAAAGTATGAGACTGGCTACTTATCTCTTGATACTTTATTAAATATAAAATAGGATTTGTTTCTTCTAAAAGAAAAAAAGAACAATAGCTCCTATTGTCTCAGAAGCATATTTCCAGCTCACAGTACTGCAACTTCAAAATGCTTTATGAGATCAGTTAGGTGCACATTAGCACAGAGACAGAAACACAGCAAAGAAAATTAAATTCAAATGTTCAGTAGAAAATGAAGAATTTCACTTCAAATTGGAACAAAGATTTTCTATGAAGGCATGTGTTATTAGGCAATTATCAAGTGATGAAATTCAGAAGGAATGTCATGTTTACCCAGAATTATTCTGTAACAGATAATTTCCATCGTTCTGAAGCAACTGGTTTTGGCTTCTATACACACAGAAACTGTCAGATGATCCACACCAATAGGTCATCTCTAAATTCCATTTAGTTGTAGACAATAATTTCTTGATAGTCATCTGGTTTAATCATTTCTAGTCAGAGGAAAATACCTTCAACCTGGTCTGTGAGCATCCAGTGCCTCATTGTTGATATATGCCTTGAAGCAAGAAGCAAATGAAACTGCCAATTTTAGTTAATGATGGTGTGTCCAGATATCTTGTCCTAGAATTTGAGAGCGCAGATCTAACAGTTACTAAATCATGTAAGAATAGATCAATTTGGGGCAACAGAGTTGGCAGGTGGGGTAGAATATTTCACACCAAGACTGCAATAATATCATCCAAGGTCTTTTCCAGTATTCAGAACAGGTGGTAACTTATGAGGTCTGACAATTTTATGATGATTCAGATATTTGACTCTATCTCTCAAGAACCCTTAACAATAGAGTAGAATAGTCTTTTTAGCTACTTGGTCCCTTTTGGCCTCAAAACTATACCTTAGTCACTGTACCTTAGCCTAGTTCAAACCTGATTAGCCTCTTTTCCCTAAAATCCAAATATGACCAAGTACAGTACACAAGAGCTACCAAGAACTATTGGATATGTCAAAAATCACTACACTGTATATACTAAGAAAGGTATAAGACTTGAACAATATGATTCATACAACCAATGCTGAAGACAGAATTAGGAAAAAAGAAACCTGGCAACAATCTTTCTTTCCAGAGTGGGATGCTGTTGATACATTGCATGGGACATGACCTAAGGGACTGAGAAATTTTTCCTCCAGGGAAAAAAATATTAATAACATCTAAACATACAGATTCAAATGCTCTAGAGAGTAACTTTGTTGGTAAACTGCAGTGGTGGCTCTAAATCCATTACTAAATGTTGAGTTTTGCCATCTAACATAAACCATTCCTAGAGGAATTTGAGATATTTTCTCTCCCAAACCTCCTGCCCATGGATCCCCACAGAACACAAAACAGAGACGATAAAGAGATATTCATTGTTATATACTGCAGGACACCCTAAGAGCTGCTATGAAAAACAAACTGCAATGGCCCTGTAAGGCTGTATACAAGCTGAAAAGAAGGTGCCACTTCAACACAAAAATCTGTTTCATGACAGTTTTCTTTCACACATACTATTATTAAAAGGGAAGCTTTGCCAAAATCAATATTAAAATTAATTTTCTACTTAGGCATATCAATGCATTCACACACCGGCTGAAATCCATTGCATTCATGGATCTACATGTGCAGTGACAGAATGCATCCAAGACTGGTCTACACACTCTGTACTGACACTTGCACATGTACAGTTTGGCATGAAAAGAGTAAATATAAACCATACTCCACATATAGACTTGTGGTTTTCACATTAACAATTCCATGCGAAATATGAAAGTTAAAACATGAACACTTGACTGTTTCCTCAAAGTCTGTTCCATTCTGTCTGTTTGGCATTCATCCTGATCAGGCCAGAATTTTCACAGATGGGTTTCAAATGCCCAGCAGACAAAATGGAAACTGGATTTTCCAAGATGCTCACTGCACAAAGAGCTGACATCTTTTGATATCAGTATAACCTAATCATTTGTTACGATTTCTAGTGCAAACTATTCTTAAAAACATCTTCCCATGGAACTCAGAAGAGTTTGGAAAATAGCTTTTCTCAGAACTTAAGCATTATTTATGGCTTATTTTCAATATTAGATACCATTGTATCATTGACATATCTGGCAGGATATTTGCATTTACTTAGCTGACAAATCCTAAAATACAACCAATTCGTCAATATCAACCTTATCAAATACTGATCAAATGTAAGCAAAAGCCTTGATTGTTATGAAAAGCACACTATTCCTTTCAGAGATATTCTACTTATTTTCCTCTGGGTACAGGAGGAAGTTTTTGCAGAGCAGGTTGTGAATCTATGAAAACTGAAATGATCCAGCTCTTTGCTCCTAGATTAGTCAAAACTAAAGACTGAAACACACAAATTACAGGCCTTACCTTGCTCTGACTTAATTTGAGGAAATCCTACTGCTTTCAACAGCATTTGAGTAGTAGCCTACTTTTATTGGCTTATTTATCTATTTGTGCGTTTATTTGCACAAAAAAAAGCAATTCAGTTAAATAATTTCTGTATTTTCATTTAGGGAAAAAAATCACCATCAATCACTGTGCTCTTTAACTGTTACATCACATGTTAGTCATATTTAAAGAAATGCTACCAGAGAAAGATTCCTATGGCAAGTCCATACTAAAGAAAGATTTTAGGGAGCAAATCCTGTGAGGCCTCTTAGAATTTATACCCTAACTCTGAAGACACACCACTATCACTGTAATATCAAATAAGAATGATGAACTCAGAGCAGACCATTAAATCACAACACTGAAAAGACTAAACAACAGCACTTACCACTTCACATGCAACCACTTTAAAAAAAACAAACAAAACACTGAACAAATTAACTTGCATCTTATTCATTGAGTTTATACTCAACGTTGAAAACTGGAATAAACCTGTTATTTTTCTGGATTATTTACCTCAAGAACTAGCCAAAGCTGGTCTCCATTTTTCACATCTTTCTTATAGTACATGCCGTAGAATTTGACTACATTGGGATGATCAGAGAGAGCTTTCAAAATGTTGTACTCAGCTTCAATTTCTTCATCAATGTCCTAGTGTAACAAATGAGAAATACATTGTGGTTAATAAATAATGGTAGCCATTTAAAACAAAAACCACAACACATAGCATTTTCTGTCAATTCAAATGCAGTTTGAAATGATGCAAAGGAAAAGTCAAATAGAGCATGAATGTACCATTTACATGGCTCCAGAGCTTGATTCGGTTTACTCAGTACAAAACAGTCATCTTTTTTAAATTTGGTCTTTATCAATTTCAACTAATGAACACATGAGGTATGACTGGGCAGCCCACAGGAGAATAGGGAAGGAACAAGGGTCATGGTGAACAACAAGCTGTCTGGGAGCCAAGAGAGTGCCCTTGTGGCCAAGAAGGCCAATGGTGTCCTGGGCTTCATTAGGAAAAGTGTGGCCAGCTGGTCGAAGGAGGCGATCCTGTCCCTCTGCTCAGCCCTAGTGAGGCTGTGTCTGGAGTGCTGTGTCCAGTTTTGGACTCCTCAGTACAAGAGGAACACGGAGCCCCTAGAGCAGGTCCACTGATAGTGACAAAGATAATTAAGGGACTGCAGCATCTCTCTTACAAGAAAAGCCTGACGGTGCTGAGCCTGTCCAGCCTCAAGAAGAGAAGACTGAGGAGGGACATTATCAATATATATGTCTCCGGAGGGAGTGTGTCAAGAGGATGGCACCAGGCTCTTCTCAGTGGGGCCAAGCAAGAGGATGAGAGGCAACAGGTAAAAACTGACGCACAGGAAGTTCCACATGAATATGAGGAAGAATTTCTTTACTGTGTAGGTGACTGTGCACTGGAACAGAGTGCCCAGAGTGGTTGTGGAGTCTCCCTCACTGGAGATATGAAAGAACTAGATGGACATAATTCTGTGCAATATATTCTAGGAAGATCCTACTTGAACACGGAGGTTAGACCAGATGACCCCACCGTTGGTCCCTTCCAACTATTCTGTGATTTCAAGGCAAAGCCAGTGCAATCCATAAGTAGGTAGGTATGCAGATGCCTTGCAAAGTTACGTGCTACTGCTTTAGTCTTAAGGGTATTCCCAGCTAGAGATGGTGTGGCTGGAATTACCTCTCTACCTCTCTGCGCACAAACAAGTATGACTACAGCCACATCCTACTCATTTACCATCCCACTTTCTAGAATCATCTGGAAATTTTTCTCATTTTCTACTGTCACTGAAGCTGGTGACATCCACGCTTTCTCTGGGTTCTACTGAACTATAGGAGTTGTGGCTTTTTGTCGGTCTTTTGTTACAGACCTCAGGGTTCTTAAGACAGTGAGGGAAATTCATTTGAAGGTGAGAGATGAGGACAAGTTTTACCAACACGTGCACCAGGAGCTGTGCAAGCCCCTTTGGATCAAGCATGGATGCTAGCAATGGTGGGTATCAGATGACTCAGGTAAGCTCTTACATCTATGAGCTGGAATTGCTTATTGAGGGACACTATTAAGACTATGTTTCAGTCATGCTAAGAAAATATTCAATCCCTCCTGACCACAGGTAAAGGCAGAATAGCTGCAGTCATCTTCTCCCATTGTTTAGATCTCAAAAAAATGTAAACATACTTGTTTCCAGATTAAAAACGTTTTAAATAAAATTTTCTATTTACAACTATACAAAAAGAAATGAAAAATCCATTCTAGAAGAAGGTTGCCTTATGAACTCAACTATCCGTATGAATGGATTTTGTACCAATGAAAAGCATGTACTCAGTGCTGAAAACCTGTCACACCATTGCCAAATAGAAGCAACTGTGGCAGAGAAAGGAGATGCTTTGTATTCCCAATGGATGATGCTCCTCATTCTGTTCAACATATCTGCCCCAAGAGGACTTCGCTCACTTGTTTCTTACACAGGTCTCTCCAATACGAATATCCTCATACAAGTCTTTTGTCTTGAGACCACCTTGAGTGGTCTCCAAGAGCTTTGTTTCCAGTACCTTCAGGAATCAGGCCACTAAACTTTCATATTGAGAATATAAGAATAAGTCTTCTCACAAGGACAGGGTTTAGAGATCTTTTAATTGGAACAACCAAAAACCAGCAGAAATTTTCCTCTTTCAGAAAAAGGAGGAACTCACTTTAAGTTAATTTCCCCATAAGCACAACACAAGCTACAGGAAAAAAAGGAAGAGAGGAAGAGAGAAAGCACCAAGGTACTGAAGGTGGCTGAGGACAGACAGAGTGGAAGAAAGGATGAAGAGAGAAAACATATCTGGCATAAAAGAAAAAACAAAAGAAAGAACAAAACCCCAACACCAAAACAGTTAAAAGCCAAGAAACTGAACTCAAAACATACAATAGTTCTGACTGCCTTGGGGAAACTGGAAGAGAATTAGCCCACTGTCCTACTGTGATTTAATAGAGGTTTCTGTCTCCTGAGGGGTACTCAGGTTTTATGAGATTTTTTACAATTATAAGGAGAAATTAAATGAATAGAATATTCATTCTGTGCCTACTCAAAAGAAAAATCTTCCTCTGTATTTTATGAAGCAAGGAAACTGGAAGTATTTGGTTGAATTTAATATATTTACCTGCATAAAAGTACCTCTATAAGAAATGTTAGAGTGAATATTTTCATCCTATATGTAGGATAATATGGATAAGAGTTCTAAAGTAGAATGTTATTTACTTATAACCCCAAGGACAAGACTGAGGGCCTTCTCAGTTCCATCATCATATATTCTCATTTCAACACCTTCACTTTCCTGATTGAGTTTCAAAAAGCTGATCTGTTATTCAGCAAAAAGAATCTGAACTCTAAAGGATTAAATACAAAATGCTTATTTCAGTCTTGTATTACCCATGATAACATAAGTTTCCAGTTTAATTTGGAAATGTCAGTTAAACCAAGGGCTATAAACCCACATTTCTTCTGCTTTGTTTCCAGCCCACCTCTCAAGTGGCACAACTGTGAAACCATCTTCAAAGAAGAAAAACCTCTAAAATGTAAAGAAAAAAATGCATAAAGTATCTTTTTCTTCATTGCAATGGCTCCCTCTGCAGCCATTAATAATACTTTCAGTTTAAACAAAAAGAACTCATTTATTGCTTTCACCCTACTTGTAATATAGGATTGCCATTTAACAGTAACATGAGGTACAGCAGCTACTCCAGACATCCTGTAAACAGGAGAAGGAAAAGAATAGTATTCTTAGAATAAAAAGGGTAATACATTCAGTTAAAAGATTTGAGCTCTACAGTGTGATGTCAACCGCATTACTGACTTCCATTTTTTCATTAAAATAAGGAATCTGTTTTCATCAGTTATAACTTTGCCCTACTTCAATTTCTTATACTGCATCTTTATCCATTGTATTCTTGTCTTCACATTCTAATCCCTTTTCTCCTACTTAATCTATTTCCTCTAGCATCAGTTTTACTAGCTCTTTCTTCCTCCCATCTTCCCTTGAATCTTTTCCTACTACCTCCAAAGTGTACACAGCACTGAAATTTCCCCAATGCCTTCAGTTATTTCATTCCTACTATAGCCAGCTGTCACTTAAGAACACTCCTGAACACTTGTGAAACAGATTAAAGCGGAAGCATTTCCTGCAAAACAGGCATTTAGATGAACACCAACAGCAAGGAAGTCCTGCCTGTTCATTGTAAGCACAAGAACCTTGCTTACAGAAAGGAACAGAGTCAAAAATAGTTTCCAATACATTTGACTTCATTAAGATCCTTATCACTTGGCTGTAAATTATGTTTGCTTTGGGAGAGGTATGTGGTATTGAATTGAGCTGAGACTCCTTTTGTTGCTTTGAAAGCATGCTGAAATAAAAAGCAGATCAACAAAAACCACACCAAAGTCAATGCAAGATACTATGTTTTCACCAACGCATTTCATGGATTTATGGGCCATGAGATCATAATTTAACACTGTGTGACATGCATGGGTAGAGAGAACCCTGTGTGGTTGTGCAACTCCAGACCTGCAGGGTTCCACACGGCGTGACATGCTCTTCCCTTCCTACCCAGAGGTCATGCAATGGAAGCACACACCTCACAGCCTTATCCTGGGAGTGCAAAAGATGAGCTCAAATGAGCCACTGAAACAGGAACAGCAGCTTGTCCATGTTTTGTGCATTAGTGCTCTCAACAAAAATCCCAAGCCACATGCAGCACCACTGAAGTCAATGGGTAAGCCTCTAAAAACCAGACTAATGTTCTTCCCTACTCTTTGAGCATTTATCTAACCCACAACAAACGTCAGTTATTGAGACCAAAAACATAGCCTATACCACATAATAATTCTACCTTGCAGTCACCTGGTGCTTGTGAGTAGGAGATACTGCCTTTGCATTTTCCATTTGAAAAGATAGATCCCTCTCCAATATCTACATATTTTGTCACATTCTGAAAACACAGAATGAACAATAACAATAAAAAAAGGCATGCTATTTTATTTTTGAGGTATCACTCATAGCATGTAACTCAGCTACAACCATGTATTCAGATGCTTGAAGGTACATCTTAAGCACCTAGAAATATGCAACTTTCTAACTAGCTAGTATGTAAAGAAAGAAAAGGAAAGGGAACAACAGTAAAAAATAGAATAAACTAGGACTCCTAGTACTGAAAAGGAAAATAATCATCTCTGCTTCTGAAAATAAGAGATAAACAAAGGAGGACAGAAAAGAAAAGTAACAGAATTTAGGTATACTTGTGACTTCTACCACATGCGACCACTTCCAAGATCACTTATGAAAAGAAAAACACATGGACAGTGAGCCTGATACTTAGCAGGCTGAAGCAGTGTCAGTGTATTTCACTGTCACTTCTAACACAAATGATCTACAAAGATTAAGAAAAAAAAAGACTATATAAACTCACAATTAAATAAGCACAAACCAAGTAATTTAAGTAGCTTACGTGAACAGGATCCAAAATTTTGACTGCTGCTTTGCTGCCATTTTTCTTATTTAACACCTTGAAAACTTTTCCATACGTTCCTTTGCCAATAGTCTCAATTATTTCCCAGGTATCTGAAGGATCAGGAAAGCTATCAAATATTATTGTTTTCCCAGTCAACGGAAGCATCTCAAATGATGGCTCCTAGGAAAAAGAGATCTTGATGTTCACTCGACGAACGGTTAATAGCAATCACTTTCCTACACATGCCAGTCTCAAACACAAGGAATGCTTTTGCATATAGTGCACACACACGGAAAGCATAATGAATAAAAACTGCCGCACTTAATACAAATAATCTGAACCAATTTCAAGCTTGAGTGAAGCCAGTAGAAGCCTTTCCATGCACTTCAATGAAAACATAATGTCACCCTAAGATCCTCAAAGGGGCACAGGAATGAGAGTCAAGTTCATAAAATCCCAAAGAATTTGGCTCCATTACCAAGAATCATGCAAGAAAGGGAAAAAAACCCACCAAATAAAACATCTTAAATAGTTGCATTAGGTTCATTCAAACATTTGCAGCAAACAATCAATTTTCTAATCCTACTCTTAGCATTTGAAATATTATATAGATCTCATAAGGCCAAGCAGATCAAAGTGGCAGATCTTTTCACAATACTACAGTCTTCTGTCAGTCAAGCATTCACAGTCATGGAAAACACCTTACCAATGTACATTCGTTAACAACTGTTTTACATACTGTAAAGGAAACACCTTTTACCATGGTGGAATTGTATCCATCACTGCCCAGGTTACACCTGTGCCCTGGTCAGTGATACAATTCACTTACACATGCCTTCATAGTGACTAACTATCCAGCAGCTACAGTGGTAAAAACAAAGTGTACACACACCCTAGACAAACAACAACAAAACAGAAACCCCACCTTTATCTGTTTTTAAGAACAGCCAAAATCTCAGTAGAAATCAGTTAAAAATTACGTTCTCATGTTCTTAATTGTAGAACCAAGACTGAAAAAGAGAAGGGGCAGGGAAGAGGACAGACTCAAGCCCTTACTAAGTAAGCAAGCAATAAGAGAATCAGCTACCATATACATAAGTCCTTCCTGAGCACAACATGCAATAAATGAGCCAGGTTGGAGAGACATTTTCAAACACCTTTTTTAAATGTTTTCATATAGTATTTTATAAACAGACTAGAATGCAATTTCTCTTGGATCTTTTTATGCCAACAGCACAAATTTACACACATAAAGCATTTTTTGGTGATACTACTCCAGTGAAAAACATTGCACTGTGATACCTTTCTACTTTTTAAATCAGAGGATGGCTCCAGTTTCCATTTTAGCCATGGCTTCCAGCACACTAGCCATACTTTCTTTATTCCTCTCCTTATTCATAAAACCATGTATACATCACTACACATGCAGCATGTATATCCACTATACTTACACTATGTATACCAACCAGAAGCACCTGAAATGGACTGTAACACAAACATTCAATTCATGCATATTGGCATGACACATGTATTAAGAGTAATCTCCTGGATGAGACAAGCTCACCTGGGAAACACAGGGCTTGGGATTCTTTCCATCATTCTGATCTTGGCTGAGTAACTCACTGATGAGTGAGAAGAAAGGTTTTTCTTCTCTTTCTCCCCCACACCTTCTTTTTTAATACATACATGACTATCACCAACTTCTATACCTGCTCTTGCAGCAAAGTGTTGAAATAGCTTCTTAACACCAGTAAACCTGCAGCACTCTGTTGAGTACTTGGTACTGTAACAAGTACTGGCTCACCACCTTGATTTCAAGTCCTGTGGGAACAAAATGACCCAATTTTACCTGCTACAGGGAAATCTCCCTTAACACTATTGCATGTAAAGTTCGAAGTAAAGATCAAGATTCAGAGATGAGTAGCTATAATACATAAATCAGCAACTTTCCATTCCAGATTCAAAATTTGCTTCTTCTTTCCAGATCTCTCCCTGGGGTTCACGTTGCCACAACTCAGCCAAGACATTGACTGCAGTCTCTTCCTAAGGCATTGCCTAGTCTATGCCTTGGGAGCTTCACCACTTCCAGGCAAAGCCAACTCTTCCCCCAAAAAAGAACACAAATGAGTTAAAACTTTTCTTTTTTAACTTTGTTTTTATTTTGCCTTTCAAACAGTGCTCAAATACAATCATCCTGTTAGGTTTTTTTATCATTTTATATATAAATGCTTTGTAATTAGCACATATTTATGCCTAGACAGAATAATAGCCAAATGGGGGGTGATAAAGGGATGGGTATTCATAATCACAAATCCTTGCTTTGAGGGATTCAACAAGGATGAAATTTCCAAATATTTCTGTCTGAGCTTTAGCTTTTTAGAACTGAGATAAACTGTTCAAGGTTTAACTGGATACTCCATCTGTAACTAGTGATTTTTTACAAGAGAAACAAAAGTAGAAAGCTATCAATAGGCATCTTTGAAGAACTGAGGCATCCCAATCATATATGTAATTCTCCTTCAAAATCTTGTACCTGCTATGTCTCCCATTGCAAAAACACACAGTAAGAACCTCTGACCCAGGCAGCTTACAGGATGAGATATGCAAAAGTTGAAGAAAGGAGGGTTTATTTCCTCCCCTTCAAGGATGAGCACTTAAGATGTAGGAACTCAAAGAGCAGCTCCATATATTTAGCCCATGCCAGAACCAAGCAGGGAACTCTGATAGCTTGAATCTCAAAATACACCCTTAAGCAAAGGTCCACCCCTCTGTGCAGAAGTTTTACACCAAGTAGAACATGGTAAGAAAAAACATGTACCTCAAAACATGCAGCTTCAGACAGCTTCCCAGGTTTCATTAACTCCTTATACATTGAGAGAATGCAGCTGAAATTCACTGACTCCCAGTATCAATTGCTTATTTGTCTGCAGAGACTGGTACAATGAGAACTGTTAAAGGTTGAGGAAACATGATCCTGCAGGTAATGTTTGGCTACCAGAAAAAAGTGCTAGAGAAATTGCCATACGCTTGTGTTTTCATCTGAAAATCACACCACTTGCACATCATATGAAAAAAAGTCACTACATACTTAACAAAAAATGCATTCAATAGCTGTCATACTTGGCTCAATAATTTAAGAGTGCTATTTCAGAAAGAATTATACACCCTAATTCTTTCAATTTACAGCTTCAAAATTGTAAGTTGAATACATTACACTGAACATCATATTTCCTCCCTTCACCCAAGTTAGATAGATTGTTTAGCTTCCACTTCTATTATTAAAAATTTATTAAATAGAATGATTTCAAGTGTTGTGTTCTGAGTGATGAATAATGTTTTATTACATCTCAGTGAAGTTGAGAAAGCTGACAATGATTTAACCTCATATTTCAGCAATAAATTGGACTGTCTCTGGTATATGTCTGGATACCCAACCAACTGGGTAATTTATCATAGCCTTGACCATTAAAAATTTACTTTAAAAACCCCACAACTTCAAACTTGGTCCAAACCTCTAAGCTAGGCATGTACCCTTGATCCCTTAGAAAAACTCTTTAAAATACTTCTGGTGTGCTCAGCATGACAGTTCACTCAACTTCTGCTTAGACTTTGGCTAACCTGGCTCCTAGTAAGGCCTGATGGATGTGGGGAGCAGTGCTGGTAGGTCAAAGCAAGAGCACCAAGTAGGCAGACAAGTGACCTGAAAGAGCTCAAGAACCATTTTGTGCCATTACATACCATTAGCACTGGCAAATCACTGTCTCCTATTATCTATCCTATTGCAGTTTCCCCAAAATCTAACTTATGAAAATGGCATGGGCCAAACCTCTGAGATGGAAGGTATAAAACATCAGCTTACCCAAAAAGCTTTTGAAGCAGATCCAACAGCAACTGGTCTGCTGAGGTTTTCCTGCCCCTGATACAGGGAATGCTTGCACCAAGACTGAAGAGGAAGGGAGAAGCAGTCTCTTTCCCCCAGACACGTTTTTTTTCTTTTGTTTTGCTCATAAGTGCATGAGTTAAGACTTATGGGTTATAAGTTATGAAATCTTATGGCTTGAATGGTGCATAAATGAATTCACATGATAGACTGACCTGGGCAAAAGGGGATTGAGACACTGTTTGTTGTGTTTGTTACAGTTCTTAATGAGCTCATGAAATAAAATTTAAACCATAGAGTGTGCTGTCCTGTAGATTTCAGAGAGCCAAACAGACTGTGACAATCACAGTGATTAAATTCAGGGCATTTGGGGCAGGGGAAAAAATAAATTTGGAGTTCCAAGAAGACAAGCTGATGTGGTTGGGATTTTTTGATTTGTTTGTAGGAGTTTTTTTCCTCTGAGAGGAGGATCTCATGTCCATTACAAGAACAAGTTGGGTGAGAACAGTCCTGTGTGAGGTTTTGCTTCCTAGGTCACATCAAACACACACACCCTATGCAGCAGACCTCAGGCCACATATTAGAGATACCCAGAGATGCACTGTTCAGCATCAATGCTGGCAGACCACTGCATTCTCCATAATCTTCAGTATCTAGCTAGTTTGGAGAGGGAATGGGAAGCCTCATGAAGAACAGAATATCTCCTGTAGACTATCTGATTGCTGCAAAGGCAATGAAGTACATTTATCACACCCAAAGTTTCCAACCCAAACTAATTGCCCTGTGGCAAGCTTTACAGTCAAGGCCACAGAGCACTACAGACAACACAGTCAAGTGGGAATAAGCAATACATTTCACTCCTGCTGGCTGGGTTGAAAGTACAGTGGAGCCTGAATTTCACATCGATTATTACATGTTAATCCAATATTTTTACTACTGTTTCACACCACCTAAGTGTGCAACTTCTTTCTAAAACTTCCCTTTCAATATTTTCTGAATGAACCTTCCTCTCATTTGGATGAAAACATATCCATTTCCTCTATAAGGGGGTAATAAAACGCGAGGCACCTTGCCTGACTGTCATTCATCTTTCTTCACAAAGGGAATTTACATTATTAGCAAAGCTGACACCTATTCATATATAGCTACAATGAATCCAGCCTTTAGGCTCCCAGCAGCATCTTGTCTCCTGGCTACCACAATCTTCTGGTCTCAGAAACTGGAACTAGGACCTCATTGATTCAGTTCAAAACACACCTACCAAGGACCTTGCCTGACTGTCATTCATCTTTCTTCACAAAGGGAATTTACATTATTAGCAAAGCTGACACCTATTCATATATAGCTACAATGAATCCAGCCTTTAGGCTCCCAGCAGCATCTTGTCTCCTGGCTACCACAATCTTCTGGTCTCAGAAACTGGAACTAGGACCTCATTGATTCAGTTCAAAACACACCTACCAAGGTTGTGTTTTATTTTATTTTTCCACATCGCTCTTTCCTTGACATTGCAAACATTACTTGCATTTAACCAGGCAGTTCCTGTGCATATCCCACCCTATAATTGTAATTTGCCAGACATCTTCACATGCGTCATGACTGGTGGATGTCAGGAACCAGGAAAACTAGTTTACATTGCCTATCAGGTCTGTTACCTCAGTGGAGGTGACACTTGCAGTCATTCAGATGGTGAAACTTAAACCTCTTGCCTACTGGATGCCAGAAAAATAATCACCCTAGCCAATAAAAAATACACCACCAACAATAACAAAAAGTATGACTGCTGAAGCTTTTTATATCAAATAAAAAAACCCTCACCTTTCTCACCATCTGATGCCTTTGCCCAATATTGAGTTTAGACATTCTTTGGTCTGCCACAAGGCACAGTGGGGCCTTGAAATATTTAATGCATGGCACAAAAAATCCCAAAACACTTCTTCCTTACTTCATGAGTTTATGTCACACTAACAAATACTTAATACGAGAGTTAAAGGTTGCTGCATAGAATTCTCCAAACAAGCCAAGAGCATGAAGCTACAATATGCCCTTCATCATACTAACATCTAGCATGTTCTGGCTAACTGTCCAAGTAATCAGATTGTTCAAACAAGAACATGGGATGGCCATTCAGATCCCGAGCTAGTATAAATGTAGCTGCAATGAGTAATTTACTCAGCATACCACCTTATCCATCATTCAAAGGGTAAGCTTTGCTCTGGAAATTCCGATACCACCCCCACTGAATTCTGGGGGGATATCTGGCCTCTGCTTTTGATGATGATACAACCCGTATCTGAATGGGAACTATAGTCAAATCTAAGCTCATTGAGAGCAGTTTATCTAGTTTGGCAATATGTTGAACACAAGTGTTTAGAACACAACAGAGTGGGTTTTCTTTTTACTTCATTTGTCAAAAGCTGAATGGATTTAGGACTATAATTTCACTCTCAACCAGCAACAATATATTTGCATAATTACATAATTTTCGTATTATCCATATGTCTATCTGAATTATCCTCTTTGATTGCACATCAGTTTGCTTACAACTTTCCACTCTGTATTTCACCCAGTGTTTTCTCAAAACTGAACAATTGTCCTTCTCATTCACCCAGTGTTTTCTCAAAACTGAACAGTTGTCCTTCTCCTGCCAGAAACCTTCCAGTTTATGGAATGGCTTATTCCAGAGGGGAAAAAAATAAATCTCTTTAGCCCCAGCTATAGCAGATGAAGAATGAAAATCAACAACCTTCTCTAACAGTCAGTCCATTTCTTTACTGCTGTGTGCTTACATGAGTAAGAAAAACAAAAGAGCTGGGATTCACCTAAGTTGATGTGTACAATAGACCTACTGGAACACAAACTAGATGCTCTAATTCCATTTTAGTCAGTCAAAGCAATCAAAAATTGATTCACCTGCCTGGGTAGCATCTACCTTAGCATAAGACAACTTGATCTCCAGACTCTGTTGTTTCTACTGGCTAAGTTTCCATTGCCTACAACAGGAACCCAATTACACAGCTTCAGGTGCAGATACGTTAGGTGAAATGAATTCTATCCCACTTAAATGCTGGAAACAAAGAGTTTTAGCTTGACAACTGACAAAATGAGTATCAACTCATGCTACAGTCAGGAAAACTGCCAGCCAGCCATATCTTCTCACCTGAAAGTTGTCAGGCAACTTGGACATTGTCCGATGATGCACAGAATAGGCAAGCACCATGCCATGACATTGCCAAGCAAACTTTGAATCCAACAACCAACTCTAAATTAATACAAATGCAGAAATAAATGGTTACTTAAAGCATTTGGAGGCAAGGAATGGTGATAAATTGAGCCTAATATCAGAAAATATATTTCCTGGGCACAATTCAAAGTATATAAGTCAATCTTAGGGCAGTTCAAGGAAGAAATTGATGCAATTCTGAGGCCACTTTTTAGTGTTTACTCTCTGAAAGGCTGGGTAAGTGATTGTTCTGTTTTGAAAAACACTTTTTCTCTTTGCTGGTTGTATTTCAGCTACAACTTTCCCAACAAAGCAAGACAGCTTCAGAGTCACTTGATGCCTCTGGTCTCCTTGACCTTTGTAAAACTTCTACACTCAGTAGAGAAACAGTACTGTGCGGTATCAGTACCTGATCTCCTTCTATTGATAAATGCCTATTGTGTGTCCACACTGACATTTCATCTGCTGATTATTATTCAGCTGATCTCGACATTTTGCCTTGCTGAAGGCTGAGCTGGCTAGCCTTGCTCATGTGAGGCTCCAGCTCTTCACTTTCTGAATGTTCTCAGAGGGCATTGATGGAACTGATCTACATCAGTGTTAGGTTACACCTTGGTTTTCTTCCATTCCCTGCCATGCCCTCCAACAGTGAAAGTCCCACTGCA